TATTTACTTATTATTTTAAAAATCCCCTCCCAAGGATATCTTCATTGATATTTTTAGTGAGAGAGAGGAGGTGGGGGGAGGGGGAGAGAGACATCAATGTGAGAGGGAAACACCCATCATTTGCCTCCTGTACGTGCCCCCATCAGACATAGAACATGCAACCTAGGTATGCGTCTGAGTGAGAGCCTAACCCACAACCTTTTGGTGCACAGGACCGTGCTCCAACCAGCTGAGCCACTCAGCCAGGGCAAGTTGCATCATTTTTTAAAAAATATATATATTCTTTTAAAATTTTTTCTGGCTTTATTGAGCTATAGTTGACATATAACCTGGTATAAGTTTAAGATGTGTAATGTTATGATTTGATACACATATATGTTATAAATGATTAATACAGTAAAGTTAATACATCATTGACCTCATGTAATTAATGGTAATTTTCTGTTGTGGTGATGGAGGTAGTGAGAACATTCATGATCTACTCTCTTAGCAACTTTCAAGTATATACTATAGTTAACTACAGTTGCCCTGCTGAACATGAGGTCCCCAGAACTTATTCAGGTTAGGGAGTTTGTGCCTTCGACCAACACCTCCCCATTTTCCCTCCACCTCAGCCCCTGACAACCACCATCCTATTTTATGTTTTTATGAGTTTGGCTGTTTTAGATTCCATATGCAAGTGAGATCACACAATATTTGTCTTTGTCTGGCTTTTTCACTTAGCACAGCACCCTGAAGGTCCATCCATATTATTTAAAATTCCAAGATTTCCTTCTTTTTAGGGCTGAGTAATAATATTCTGGGGTGTGTGTGTGTGTGTGTGCGTGTACCACATTTTCTTTATCTGTTCATCCATCAATGGACATTTAGATTGTTTTTATGTCTTGGCTATTGTATGTGTCACCTTTTATTTTTATTTATTTATTTATTTAAAAGATTTTACTTATTTATTTTTAGAGAGAGGGGAAGGGAGGGAAAAAGAGAGGGAGAGAAACATCAGTGTGTGAGAAAAACATCGATCAGCTGCCTCTCACACATGCCCCATCTGGGGACCAGCCCACAACCCAGGCATGTGCCCTGACAAGGAATTGAACCAGTGACCTTTCACTTTGCAGAACGACGCCCAACCAACTGAGGCACTCTGGCCAAGGCTGTGTCACCTTTTATGATCTAGTCGTAGGATTCTTATGGCATTACTTCCACCATACTGGTAGTTGAAGCAGTCACAAGAAACCAATAAAGTTCAAGAGAAGGGACCATAGACTTGACCTCTGATTGGAAAGTTGCAAGGTTCTAGAAGAACTTGAGGGATAGGAAATATGATTGTTATTATTTTTTAATTTAATTTTTTTTTAAATTGTCGATTACAGTTTGCATTCAATATAATTTTGTATTTGTTTCAGGTGTATAACATAGTGGTTAGACAATCATACACCTTACAAAGTGTTCCCCCCAATATTTCCAGTATCCACCTATCATCAGTGGGGGCCCAAAAAGCCTGGAATTATCTTCTGGAGAATTATCTTCTTCCTTTGTAGTACAGGTTTCCCCCACTAGGTGAGTGTCCTAGGAACCCATCTGTATCTGTACCAGCTGGCATTGTTGTGAGAGGCTGGGTTTGGCTTTTGTTAATTTTTTTTGGAAGGCTCTTTGCATTTGCCCACTTCATGATGGGTAGTTTATGAGTGCACCTGCCCACACCATGCTGAGTGTTCAGCAGTTTTTTACCAAAAATGGCATGATCTCTATGCCCCACTCTCCCTATTCACCCGATCTCACTCCACGTGACTTCCCCCATCCCATTGAAGAAAGTCCTCAACAGAAACATTTTGCCGATGTGGAAGAGGTGAAACAAAAAATGGCAAAAGCATAAAAGGCGTCAAAATCAACAAATTCGAGAACCGTTTTGAGCAGTGGAAAAAAACATCTTGTTAGGTGTATTGTATCAAATGGAGAGTAGCTTGAAGGTGACTAAAGTTCAAATATGTCAGAATAAATACACAATTTTTGTAAATAAATTTGGGGGTGTTGGGTCCCCCCTCATACATAGTTATTACAATATTATTGACTGAATTCCCTCCACTGTGCTTTACATCCCCATCACTGTGATCATTTAAAAAAAATACACTCTGTCACACCAAACGGGGTGAGTTCTGGAGTCAGATGTGTGGGTTAGAATCCCAGCTCTCCCATTCATGGCTCTAAGTCTCATTTTCCTCATCTCCACAGTGGGGCCAATAATAGCACTTACTTCATGTGGTTGCTGTGAGGGTTAAACAAGTTAGGGACCCAAAGTACAAGGTACCTGGCACATGCCTGGGGCTCAGTGGGTATCACCATTGTTGGGACAGGCCATCGCGCTAAGCTCTGATCAGTGTGGTCCATCACACTAGGGCTTTAGCCTGTTTGCGTGTGTATGAGGAAGCCTGGAGGTGTGTTCAAAGCTGTGTGTGCAAGTGGGTCCATGTGCTCATGGCCACAGGAGCTGAAATGAATGTGTGCACCTGTGGTGTTAGTGGGTGGGAACTTGGGTGGAGACCTGCCTGCGCACATGAGAGCACATCAGGACTTTGATGAGTGGGAATGTGTGGGACAGGAGTGGGGATGGCTGAGGCCAGGTGTGAGTGTGTGTCCACAGGGGTGCGAGATTAGCACTGGGTGTGGGCAGACTGAGCCATGAGGGTGTACGAGAGTGTGGGGCACGGCCAAGCATGTGCGTTAGATTGTGTGTGTTTGTGTGCACGGGTGTGCATGTTTTCTAGAAGTTGCCTGTCCCTACTTGGAGCTTGGAAAAAATGAGAAAATGTAGAAACAAAGAACCCTTTCAGAGCTTCCCAGGGATGTTCGAATCAAATGAACCCCTGGTGACTACAACCAGCTGGAAAGACGAGGCGAGCCGGGTGGAGGGGCGTGGGGAAAGGCTTTTCTGAGGTTAGTAATCACGCTTGGGCTGGGAGCCAGGGTTCCTATTAGGGCCAACTGCTTCCCACACAGAGTCGCCTCTTCAGCTTGGATGACAGCTTAGCGTTGCAGCCTTCCTCCTCCTCACTCCCATTGCAATTAGTAGATAATTTGTTCATTTATTCAAATATCTATTGACTACCTACTATGGGCCTGGCACTGTGCTAGAGGCCAGGGATACAGCAGTGAACAAAACCTCCATCCTAGCCCTGGCTGGTGTAGCTCAGTGGATTGAGCACAGGCCTGCAAACCAAAGGGTCACTGGTTCAAATCCTAGTCAAGGAATATGCCTGGGTTGTGGGCCAGGTCCCCAGTTGGGGGCACGTGAGGGGCAACCACACATTGATGTTTCTCTCCCTCTCTTTCTCCCTCTCTTCCCATCTTTCTAAAAAATAAATAAAATCTTTAAAATATATGCTATGAACAAATATAACATCAGGTGGTGATGAGTACCATAAGTAAAAGGGATGGGAGTGACTGACTTGGGAGATGGGAGGTCCTCTAGAGAGGAGATCAGGGCAGCCTCAGAGCGGCCTCTCTGTGGGGCAGACAACTTAAGAGTGCATGAGGGGAAGACATTTAGGCAGAAGGAACAGAAGGAACAGCAAGCATGAGGACCTTAAGGTGAGGATGTGCCTGGCACATTCCAGGAATGCCAAGGAGGTGGTGGAATGACCCGGGGGCAAAGGGGAAGAAGTTGGGTCATAAAGCCACCAGGAGGTAAAGAACCATGAGCTTTTGCAGGGAGGATGAGTCTCCTTCCTTTCCTTTCCCCTTTCCCCTGACCCTGTGTGTGTGTTTCCTGGGGGTGGTGCAGTGAATTACCATGGACTGGTGGTGTAGAATGCAGAAATTTATTCTCTCACAGCTATGAAGACCAGAAGTCCAAGATCACCGTGTCAGCAGGGCCACATTCCCTCCGTAGGCTCCAGGGGAGAATCCATTTTGCCTTTTCCAGCCTCTGGTGGCTCAAAGATTTTACTGGTTTGGGGCTGCCTCAGTCCTGTCTCTGCCTCCTTCTTCACATGGCCTTCTCCTCGTCCTCCTCTGTCTCTCTCCGCTTGTTTCTCCTGGAGCACTTGTTATTATATTTAGGATTTAGGGCCCACCTGGATAAACTCATCTTGAAATCCTTAACCACATCCACAAAGACCCTTCTTCCCAACAAGGTCACAATCACAGGCTCTGAAATTAGGACGTGGATGTATGTTTGGGGGCGGGGTGGGTCACCATTCAACACACTCACTTCATTTTTTCAGGATCTAAGGCAGAGCCAAGTGTGGCCAGCCTGGGTTTCAGTTTCCATCTTTGTAAAAGAAGACAACAGCGTGGGTTCTGAGCATTGTCAAGAGGGAGAGATGTAGCCCTGGCTGGTGTGGTTCAGTGGATTGAGCGCAGGCCTGTGAACCGAAGGGTCGCTAGTTAGATTCCCAGTCAGGGCACATGCCTGTGCTGTGGGCCAGGTCCTCAGTAAGGGGCTCATGAGAGGCAACCACACATTGATGTTTCTCTCCCCCTCTTAAAAAAAAAAAGAGAGAGAGCAAATTAAAAAAAGGGAGAAATATAATGATGAATGTAAAGTGCTTTCACTAGTGCCCCACATATAAAAGCAACTCAATTTTGAATTGTTATTATTTGAGTAATGTCCCCATGAAATTAGGTGACTTGATTAAGTTTCTCAAGCTTCTTTTGAGTACAGATCCTCTACTAGGCACCACGAGAGTCAGAAAGAAGGGGCAGGCCCAGCACAGGAACCTCTGCCTGCAGCTGCTCTGGGCAGCAAAGGGTACCTGCCACCCTCACCCTTTGTGATGGTTAATTTCATGTGTCAACACGACTAGGCCGTAGGATGCCCAGATTAAACATTATCCCTGGGTGTGTCTGTAAATGTATTTCTAGGTGAGATTAGCATTTGGATCAGTGGACTCAGTAAAGTAGGTTGCCCTCCTCAACGTGGGTGGGCATCATCTGATCCATTGGCAGCCTGAATATAACAACAAGCACGGTGCGGGAGGACTCCTTCCTTCCTGACTGCCTGCGTGAGCTGGACGTTGGTCTTCTGCCCGTGAACTAAATTACACCATCAGCTTTCCTGGGTCTTCAGCTTGCAGACGGCAGATCGTGGGACTTCTTAGTCGCTGTAATCATGTGAGCTGATTCCTCAAAATCAATCTCTCTGTCTTTCTCAACATGGATGACTCTCAGATACTGAGTGGTGAGAGAAGCCTAACAAAAAAGAGCACATGCTGTATAATTCCACTTGTATAAAGTTCAAGAACAGGCAAAACTAATTTACGTTTATAGAAATTAGAATAGTAGCTACTTTGGCTGGGAAACTGGGGACTCTCAACTTGGACAGAAATAAACTGGACAGAGGTTACACGGGATTAACAAATGTAAAAATGGATGAAGCTAGACACTGAGGACAATTGCACTTTATTTACTTAACTGCACGTATGTTATATCTCAGCCAAAACATTAACAAGTCTGTCAGTGCTGAGTGTTGGCAAGGATAAGGAGCACCGGGACTTCTGCTTTGTTGGTAGAGAGGAGTAAATGGGTATAAACACTTTGGGGAGCCACTTGGTAATAACTTCCAAGGGTGAAGTTGTGTATGCCCTTTGACCCACTGATTCATTCCCAAATCTATACATGAGAGAAACCCACAAGAGGACATGTACAATGGTGTTCACTGCACCACTGTTAATGCAAAATATTAGAAGGGAGACAAAGGTCCATCAACAGGATAATAAAATGTGGTATACTCATGTAATGTAATGCTACTTTCCAGGTTAGAGAGACGAGGTAAGAGAAACATAGGTAGCAGGTTGAGGAGGGCCTCAGAGATGAGGTCCATGCTCTGCTTTAGACATAAAGAAACTGAGCCTCCGGGAGGTTGACTGATTTGCCTCAGGCCACACAGCAAATTAATGAACAAGTCGTGTTAGGCCTAAATTTTCTCCCAATCCAGCACTCACCCCTGGAGATAGAAAAGGAAATTTGTTTGTTTCCAAATATTACAAATGAGCCCTGGCTGGTGTGGCTCAGTGGATTGAGTGCTGGTCTGTGAACCAAAAGGTCGCCGGTTCCATTCCCAGTCAGGGCACATGCCTGGGTTTCCGGCCAGGTCCCCAGTAGGGGGCACGCAAGAGGCAACCACACACTGATGTTTCTTTCCCTCTCTTCCTCCTACCCTTCCCCTCTGTCTAAAAACAAATAAATAGATTTTTTTAAAAAGACATAAAATATTACTAATGAATTTATTTATAAAACAGAACACATAATCACACATATAACTTGGTCTTACTAGTCCATCTACAAAATATTAAGCTTTTATTTACCAAGGACCAAACAAAATGCTCATTTGGGTATTATTCAAATTGACAACAAAAATAAGGGGAAACCAAGCTTATCTTCATCCCCTTGAACCCAATAGGAAGGAAATTAGTTTTAATCCCAGCCCTGTCTGGGCTGCTGGTGACATCAGGAAGCTTCCGTGGGAGCCACGGGCACAGACATGGTGGGGCAAGTGCAGTCGTGTTTGGGGTGTCCTATGCCCAGGTCAACACCGTGCTGCTCCATTACAAATCTCATGACACCTTTACCACCTCTCTGGGACCAGGCCAGGATTGCTCAGGGACCCTCAGCATTGCTGCCACCAGAGGGGGTTGGGGCAGAGTGATGACGCTGGCGCCAGGTCCTGCCACAGAGACTCTCAACCCCTGGGATCTAAACTCCGTTTCCACCCTGGCCCCACCCCTGCCCTGCCTGGAGTACTCCCACCCTTAACCCTACTGTCACCTTAGCTGCTCCGGGCTTTTCTAACCCTGGTCCCTCCCACAATGGTCCCTGTCTTAGATACTTCCTCTGTGGCCTCTGAGCTGCCTTTTCCATACAAAGTACACTTCTTGACCCTCCTAGCATGTCTCTTTCCTTCAGGGCCTCTGTACAAAAGTAAATGGGGGGCCTGACTCTAGGCTGACTTCAGTAGGAAGAAAGGTGCTTTGCAAATTTGTCCTGGGAGGTGTCCTAATCTTCACAAAGGCTTTTGTGGTGTCTTGTCTCTTCTCCTGAGCCCTTGGAAGCTGAGGCCCCTAATTCCCTGACAATCACGTGCATCTCAGAGCCACCTTCATTCCCCAGTGCTCCTTGCACATTGTTGCTTGTAGTGGGTGTTGAACATTCCTTTTAGATATCCAGAAACTGAACTCCTTTGCTGGGTTGGGGAAAATCCCCTGCCTCTGAGACGGAGCCCTCCTTCCACACTAGAAACTAGAAATGCCACCCTTGCTGTGACCTGACCTAGGCTCCATCAACAGACACTCACAGGTCCACAGAGACTCTGCGTGGGGACAGGTATGTCTGGGCTGCTGGTGACGTCAGTGTTCTTTCTCTTCATAGGGCCAGTTATGGCCTATGCTTTGGGGCACAAACCGTGGCTCAGTAACCTCCAAGCCTGGGTCTGTACACATCCAGAGGATTCTGAGTTATCCATTATCTTTCCGTAAGTGCTTTTTCTGCTAAGTTAGCCAGAACTATTTTTTGTTGTTGTTTATAACCCAAACTGTCCTGATTGATACACTCTTCTTCCTCACATCCAAACCCCAACTCTTAGGGGGTTTGTGCTACTTCATTACATCCCCCTCTACCTGCTTTGCTGTCTACCAATCTCCCCTTCATTCACTGAAGACTTTGGCCCCTGCCCCAAACTCTTCCTCTCCTTTGCAAGTCCTGCCTTCTCATACACTGACCTCCATTTTCCTCATCCTCCTGATTGTTAATGGCCTTCATCTGCACTGCATATCGGCCACCTACTCCAAAGGCCATATCCTAGGCCTTTATCATTTTGCTTGTACTAGTTAGAATTTTGATTGCAGATAACCTAAAACCCAAATAAAATGGCTTTAACAATAAAGGGAATCTGTTACCTCAGGTGACAAGAATCTGGAGATAGAGCGGCTCCAGGGCACATCAGTTCAGGGGCAGCTCTGTGACTTCATCAGGCAACCAGGTTCTTCCTTCTCTCCCTTCTGCTGTCCTCAGGTACGAACTGTCATCAGGCCGGTTCCCCACGTGCTCACGAGATGGCTGCCCCAGGCCCAAATATCACATCCTATGACAATGTTAAGAAGCAGAAGAAAGGGACCTTCTCTTCCTTATGTCATTTTATAAGATGAAAGGAAAACTTTCCTGGGTGTGTTCTCCTCCTCCCACTCCCACCACTTGGCAATAAACTTCCCCAGCAACCAGAACTGCATCATCTACTCATGTCTAAACTAAATCCTACTGTATCAGCAAGAGTTAGACTTAAGTACATGGAACTGAGAGGAAAATTTGGCTTAAAAAAAGAACTAAGTTTTGCTCTGGCCAGGCAGTTCAGTTGGTTAGAGCATCGCCCAGGTACACCAAAGTGGTGGGTATGATCCCCAGTCAGGGCACACACAAGAATCAACCAATGAATGCATAAATAAGTGAAACAACTAATTGATGTTTTCCTCTTTCTCCCTTTCTCTATCTCTCTCTTCCCCTTCTTCTCACTCTCTCAAGTCAATAGATTTTTAAAAAATGTTTTTCAAATCCTTAAAAAGTAACGAAGCTTACCAATTATGTACAAAGATTGGAGGTGACCTGGAAGTAGGCTGTCCAGGGCTATTAATGGCAGCCTTATGGTATCATTAGAAACCCAGAAGCTTATCTTTCCACTCCACCATCCTTAATGGTTTCCATTATTGAAGTCATCTCATAGTTCAAAAGGGCTGCTTGAATTTCAGTCATTGTATTATCTTTCTAAGCAAGAAAAGAAGAAGGAGGAAGGTATGACATCTTCCCACCCCCAACCCCCAGATATCTCAGAAGTCACCACATCTCACAGGCCAGACTTAATCATATGACCACAGCCAGTTGAAAAGGATCGCCACATCTTTCCCTGAACCCAAACTTCCTTTCTTTGGGATGCCAGGAAGCTGGAAGGAGAAACTCATGGTTTGGAGTTGGACATATTTGAAATTGCATCCTTTGGCCAAGTCAGTTGAATTATCTGAACCTCTGTTTTCTCAGTTAAAGTAGATATTGTCAAAGTATTACCAAAGAATGCTCTTGGTTGCAAGTAATAGAAAACTTGACCAATAGTAGATTAGGAGACTTCTTTGTCTTACAGGAAGTCACAACACAGGAAGCTGTTTGTATTGTTTCACTGGCTTAGTGACGTCACGGCCAATCTCTCTGTGATTCTCTTGGACTTTTCCTCATGTTGTAGCTTCACAAAATAAGTTGTTCCATGGATGATATCATGTCCACGTTCTAGGAACAAAGCATGAGCAAACTGAGTTCTTAATTCTCATTCAAAGACATATTCATTGATTTTTAGAGAGAGGGGAAGGGAGAAGACAGACACATTGGTATGAGAAACATCGATCGGTTGCCTCCTGTATATGCCCTGACTGGGATCAAACCTGCAACCTGGGTGTGTGCCCTAATCAGGAATTGAACCAGTGACCCTTTCATGCATGGGACAATGCTCCAGCTAACTGAGCCACACCAGCACGGGCCTGAGTCTCTTCTTCTTTCAGAAAAGCCAACATGTTCCCAGAAGTCTCACCTAACAGATATTCTCTTCTGTCTCATTGTCCAGAACGATATCGCAGGGTTCCCCTTAGCTGGAAGGTAGCTAGAAAGGAATGTGTTGATAAAGTCGGCCACTAACCACTGTCTGCACACACATCTGCCTCTCGGGGGTGACATGAGTATTAACATAGCTTGGTGCCAGTGGAATAGCTAAAACTGGCTATCAAGTGTTGATGAAGATGTGGAGCATTTAGGACTGTCATTTGATACATTAATGGTAAGAGAATAAATTGGCACAACCGCTTTGGAAAACTATTTGGCAATGTATGCTAAAGCTAAATATATACCTCCCTTATGACTCAGAAATGCTTCTAGGTTTATGTATCCAAGATGAGTGATACGTAGGTCTACCAAAAGATGTGTACATGAGTGTTCATAGCAGTCTTCTCTGAAAACAATCCAAATGCCTGTCACCAGCCAGACAGAGAAATTGTGGACTATTCATACACTGGGACACTGCATAGCCAAGAGAGAAGGAGGAAATAGAGGAGGAGGGGGGAAACATGTCCTCAAAAACATGATTT